GCGGTGATAAGTCTGAAAATGGATTTACAGTGAAAGGTAGTTCCTGAGTAGTGGTAGCTGATTCTGTTGAGGGAACTGTTAAGTGAGAGCTGGGATATCTTGAGTTGAAAGTGCTTTCTGGTTCTAAACTTTGAGTTGCTGGTGTTGTGCTGTGTTCAATGATATCTGGAGCTGATCCTTCTGAACTGAGCGATGTGACTGTAGCTGATGATTCTTGTTCTTTGCTACTGGTTTTCAAAGCAAGTGTGGTCGGTGACAGCTCGCTGAAAGTCACTGAGGCGATTGCTGGCACGCTATGTGGAGTTTCTGTGGAAGCACTTTCTTCTGATTTTGATGAAAGCGAAGTTCTGGAAGAACTGATGATCGCTGAAGTCTGCTGCTCTTCGCTGCCAGCTGTTGTTGACTCTTCTATTTCTGTGACAGTTAGCAGTGATCCAGCTTGTGTAGTGAAATGCGATGAATCTGATGCAGACTGGAATGTAGTCAGTGTTGACCAAGTCACTGAAGATTGATTATGCTGAGGAGTCGCGATAACCGTGGTTTTCGGTATGGTTGCAGATGATGTGCTTGAAGGCAGATTCTCGTCCGGTACTTGTGTAACATTTTCTAAATCATGGGAAACTGTAATGCTAGCCGAACTTGCAGTATTGATAGTTGTTAGCCACTCAAAGCCAGTCGTCACAAAACCTGAAGTAAAGCTCGACTGGACAATGCCACTGGATGACGGGGTAATACTTCTCGGCGCCACGGTAGTCGCTTGCTTTATTGTTGAGTGATAATCCACATCTGTTACCACTTTTGTGCTTAAGTTCTTTTTGGTTATCGGTGCTTCTGTCGAGAAAGCCGTAATATCAGTTTCGTACTGGACGCTCGATATGTCATCACTTACAAGTGAGGTATGTGTTGCCTGGGAAACTGTTGAACTGCGAGCTGCTGAGGTACTTGTTTTTACAATAGTAGCAGTTGTTGGAAATGTCAGTTTCGTACTGATGACGCATTCTGTTATCACGTTTTTTTCTGTCTGCTTTGCTGAAAAATTGAAAATATATAAAAAGAAATGAATTAGAACTGCAGATAGAATAATAATAGTATAGGTATCAAACAGGCACTAATTATAAACTGACGATAATAGCAACCAAAGTAGAAAAAATAATAGCAGTTATTGTTATAATAATAATAATTATTATTATAAATATCAAATGGAGTTTTGATGACATTAATAGTATGGCGAAACACCCGTTATAATAATAGTAATTGTTATTATTGTAGCAACAATGCTGGTTGTAATAATTACAAAAAGACGAAAAGTTAGCGTATTTTTGCATTTTTCACATTCTTCCGATTGTTTGATA